GTACCGGTGACTAAATAACAGCAAGCAGGGCAGACGGGTAGGGAGCCCAGCGCGGTCGGCATTCCACGGCAGGCAGGTAATTGCAAAGGGAGGCGGAGTTCACACAATTTTGTCCTCTTTCTTTCCTCACTTAAATCCACACACTATGCATTTCCCAAGTGACTTTTCCCTTCTAAGGCCCGCTCTCTCCTGAACTTCAGGCCCCAGACCAAGGATAAGGCCCAGGTCCCATTCCACGTTGGGGTGCCAGTGTCTGGGGACCCCCCCCCAACGCAGCACTCCGTAAAAATGACTGGGGAAAAATCGCTTTAAACGGCTGCATAGTACCCCACTGAACAGCACCACCCCGACCGGCCTGGCCATCCCATGGGGTCAGATATGTGAGTGGCTCCCACTTTTTTACTCTTATAAATACAACTGCTGTCGACACGGCCTCATGTCCCCACAGCCTGTTCACGCCCTGGGCGGGGAGGCCTCGAGGAGCAGGGGGCTGCAAATGTCATAGACTCTTTCTGAATAAAGAGTCTGGGCATTTTTTTTTTTTACACTTTCTAAACATGTCACCAGATTGCCATCAGGGCGTCTGTACCAAATTTCCACTTTACACTGTCGTTGGCAGCGTTTTTGACGGGAACTACTTTTCGCGCTAATTTACAGTTTTTTTCTTGGATCTGCAGTTCTCGCCGCCGGCTGGTTTCCCCGTGAGGCAGGCGGCGTCTAAAAAGACGTCTGGGCCCCGGCTGTCAGGAGAGAGGGGTAGCGTCTGGCTCCTTCGCTGGGTTTCTGTCTGCTGGGCTGGGCGGGGCGGGGCTGAGCCCTGAGTCAGCGCCCGCCCTCCCTGTCTGCTCTTTAACCCCGAGTCACCTGCCTTCCCGGGTGGGGTTGGGAACAGCCCTCAGCCCCTGGAGATTCTGTTCAGGGGGCCATCGGCATCACGAAGGTGATCGATGCTCTGGTTTCTTGCAGTGACGAGATCCCGCACCTGCAGTTTGCTCTGGGCTCCCAGCGGGGCCGGCTGGGCTCTGCAGAGGCAGCAGCCAGGGGAGGGAAGCCCTGTGTTCCTGAGGCTCGGCAGACAGCCGCGGCTCCTGACCACCCTGCCAGCCTCCTGGCACCACCAGCCTCACGCAGCCAGGTTCTGCGGCAGCCCCGGGGCTTCCCCCGCCCCCTGACTCCGATCTCCCTCCTCTGCGGGTGGCCTTGTTTGCAAACAGCCACAGGAAGTTGTGATGCTGTTGATGAAGCAGACTCCCACAGCTCTGCGTTCTTAGTCATCACTGACAAGTCTCAACCTTCTGCCCGCCCTGGCCCCGCTGCCAGACATCGTGGGCTCCCAGGTGACGGGGAAGAAGTGACTAGGAGCTCGGCCGTTTCGGCAGCTTCCTTTCGTCATCGTCGCTGGGGAGGGGGAGAACCTCCACCAGTCCCAAACAACTGGAATGTCTAGGACCTGCCCGGAAGAGCAGGGTGGGACTTGAATTTGATTTAGCGCGGTTCTGCTGAGGGACAGGCGTGTCCCAAACACTGGCCCAACCCTTTTACACACAGGATGGCCTTTGCTATCGTTTAATCCTCAGAACCAGGGCAGTGGGTGCTACCATTGCCATTGCACGGATGGAGAGACTGAGGCTCTGTGTCGTCAGAATGGCTGGGTGGAGGCCCATGATTGCGTCGGTGGCTGCTGTGGGAAGGCAGCTTGGAGTGCTGGGAAAAAGGCGGGTACCTGGGGCCAGGAGCTGTGTTCCCAACCACTGCATGGCCTCGGGCTGGTTTCTTTCCCTCTGGCTCTCCTGTCCCTCCCTGGGTAATGAGGAGGGGGCGCTGGGGACCTTCCCGGCACTAACGCATGGTGCCAGGGATGACTGCAAGGCCAGGGTCCTTTCCACTCAGCGCTGCTGGGGTCTCCGGCTTCACTCTTTGCGGTTGCTTCACAAAAGAACGCCAGCACGAGAAAGGAGACCAGTGGCGGGGGGCCAGGGCAGATGGCCCGGCCTTACTGGGACAAAGGAAGCTGCATCCCGGAGACTCTGACCACCTTCTGAGAGTCCCAGCCCCAGGGTCAAACCAACCGACGTGCCTGCCAAGCTCCTGTGTGTCAATAATTCATTAGGATGTCACTCGGCTCCGAAGACGTTCAACCTGGCATCCTGCCTGTGCCCGGCAACTCGAAGCAGCTGGGCGCCTCTCCCCTGGGCGGGCCGGGCGTCCGCACAGCCTTCGCAGTGGGCTCCTTTGGAGGGGAGAGGCCCGAGGACTGCGGACACTCAGAGCAGCCGGAGAGTCTCAGCCCAGAGACAGACCCAAATGCTCTCCTGGCCTGAAACCCAAACCAGGCCTGGCGGACAGGCCAGCCTTGGGCTGGGGGCTGCTGCCTTCCTCCTCCTGCCGAGGGGTGCACGTGCTGCCCTCGGCCCTGCTCTGTGGACTGGACCCCAGGCTGGCCAGCTGCAGAGGCCAGGTCTTGAGCCGCTGCACCTTGAGCATACTGCCTCTCAAGAGTATGGTCAGTGGGGTTCTTGCCACCCTGGGCCAACCCTCAGCATGCATCTGGGGCTCTTTGGCATCTGCCTGCAGTGGAACCGCCCGGCCTTCTCTCCCACCGATTCCCCCGAGGTGCCCTTTTCCTGTCGCTTGAGTTTACTGCGTGTCCACGCCTCCCCACCCTTGCTCATGCAGTTGCCTCCATGGTGACAGCCCATTCACCTGGTGAGGCCCCACGGACATAGCACCCCTTCCTGACACTGCCCAGTCAGAGCTCCCCCAGGACCACCTATCTTTCCCTTAAGCTCACTTTCCCTTAGTCCTCTCCCTCTTGAGAGCGGCACATCTGTCTCCTCCATTCAGGCTTGAGCTCCCTGAATTCAGTCTCCATGCTGTGTGACCTTGGGTAAAGCGCTTAACCTCTCTGAGCCTCAATGGCCTCATAAATGGCAGCCCTAACAATAATAGTTATTATTATTGTTGTTGTTGTTATTGGTAATATTTATTAAGCACTTATTATGTGTCAGGCACTACAACTAAGTCCTTCGTGTTATCTCACGTGACAAAAGGAGAAATGTCACTGTCTTTAGGGCTACCCCGTTATTATTGTTTCGATCTTTTCTTCTGCCACAAAGCCTGGCATGCAGCGGACTCTCAGGTCCTGTTTGTTAAATTCGACTGTGGGTGAAAACGGGAGGGGACTTGGACAGGAGAAGAGCTCCATGAACAGAGCCTTGCATGTGCTCCAGAATGCTCAGGCCTAGCCCTGGCCCGGATGGGGTGACACCACCTTTGGAGCTTGACTGAGGCCAGCAGACTGCTGGGGCAGGGGGCCTGGGTGGTCTGCTCTCACCCTTCAGCCCTGTCTTTACCCATTGAAATAGTCTCGGCCCAAACCAGCCCTGCAATGCTCAGAGCTCCACGCCGAACGGGCCTCCTGGTAAACCCTGCCCGAGTCTCTGAAGTCCTCGGTGGCTGACTAGGGGCAGGTCTGTGCACATTTCTCATCAGAATAGCTTCAAGGTTAGTTTGGCCAGCTCAAGGCCACGGGTGTGGAACGCCCCCCCTCTCTGTGTTTTCATGCTTTAGCCTGGGGAGCCATTCATAGCATGTGCTCAGCTGGGCCACCCTGCCCAGCAGACAGGCTTTTGTAACCTTGACTTTATCCAGGAGTCCTGTCCCTTTCCCCCCGGAGGCCTCCTCTGCCCTGGTATGAATGAGTGGACACGAACAAGGAAGGATGCGGTCGAACCCTCTTCCTGCTCCTCCTGGTCCACGTGCCTGGCGCTGTGGGGCATGGGGGCGGGAGGGTACCCTCCACTTCCGATAGCTCCTCACGTCCTCAGAACATCCCCATTTCCAGGTGAGACAACCGGGGCCCTAAAAGATCATGTGGCCAGTCCAAGGAAAATGCCAGAACCAGCTATTCTGAGGTCACTTCTCGCCACTGCCCACTCTTACCTGGAACCCACACCAGGCACTCCTTGCCCCACCCCAGAAGCCATGACAGGCCCCAGAGGAAGGTGGGAAGTGGAGTCAGACCCGTCTGAGAGTCTAGAGGAGCCCAGAGGCCTCTTGTCTCCCGCCCTGTCTGCTGAGGGAGGCCTCGGAAGACCCGCCTCCGGTCTCTGAACAGAAGTTGGGCAGCAGGCAAGGGCCCTGCCTGCCACAGGGGAGACTCCGGGCTCAGGGCGGTCCAGAGAGCCGCAGCTGGCACTCCTCGTCTGCGTGTTGCAAAACCACCACGGGCTGCGGAGTGACAGCCAGCTGCTCTGGGTGTCGGAGGAATGTGGTTGCCAGACAGGTTCATGAGGCATCTGTCGAGGTGGAAGCCAGAAACCAGGCCTGGGCTCTTGCCACGCCAGGCGGCTCCCGGGAGGTTACAGACACGGGGCGGCCGTCGCCCCTCCCCCAACAAGGGCTCATGGAGACCCACCCTCCTGGTCTCACCCCCTGCAGATTGGTGGAAACCCTCCACCACCCCCGGGGGCAGCCACCCCGTCCAGACAAGGACTTGTGGGGACCACGGCCCGGGCAGCCACGCCACCCTCACCCCCAGCAAGGTTTGAGGCCGGGGAGATTGTAGGGTCTCTCCCCCAACCACGTCTGTAGCCTTAACAACCTACCGAGAAACCATTATTAAGGATAATTATAGTCATGTGTCAAATAACAATGTTCTGGCCACCGACGAACCACATATACGACAGTGGTCCCATGAGGTTACCAGAGGAGACGTGGTGGGGGAAGGACGGAGGTCGTAAAGGGGGTCAAACCTGTGGTGACAGAAGGGGATGAGGCTTCCGGCGGTGGGCACACGACAGAGTGCATAGGCGTCGTTTTATAAAGCAGTACCCCCGAAACTTACATCATCTCATGAATCCTGTCACCCTAGTAAACTTAATTTACAGAATTACAATGGAGCCGAGAAATTCCGAAGGCCCAGTGATGTCACAGCAGTTGTGACGTCACCGCACAACTCATCCCAGCACGGTCACTCGCCCCCTCCCTCACGGACTCACCCAGAGCAAGTTCCGCCCGCGGGCTCCGTTCCCGGCACGTGCCCCATGCGGGGGCACCTTTCCTGCCTTTCACGCCGTGTTTCTGCTGTGCCCACGCTGTGTTTAGACGCACAGATACTGACTGTTTTGTCACAGTGGCCAACGGTATTCAGTACAGTCACGTGCTGCACGGGCTCTACCGCACAGCCCAGGCGCGCAGCGGGCCAGGCGCACCCTGCAATGTCCGCGCAGCGGCAGAATCGCCCGACGACAGATTTCTCAGACCGCATCCCCCGTCGTTGAGTGGCACGTGACCGCAGAGGAATGACCACAGTGACACAGTGTTTGCTGCGCACCGAGCACAGCACAAAGCCCTTCTTCAGGGTGTGCTAGGGCCCTGTGGCCGCTGCGACGAGTCACCACAAACCAGGCAGCTCAAACTACGTGAACTCATTCCCTCGCAGTTCTGGAGTCTGGAGCCTGAATTTGAGGTGTCGGCGGGGGCGGGCAGGCTCCCTCTGACGGCTGTAGGGGAGAATCCTTCTTGGCCCGTCTGGCGTCTGGTGGCTGCTGGCTGCCCTTGGTGTTCCTCGGCTTGCAGATGGGTCACTCCGACCTCTGTCCCCGTTCCCGCATGGTGTTCTCTTCTCCACGGGTCTGTGTCTCTGTCCCAGTTCCCCTCTCCTTGTAAGGACGTCGGTCATGTTGGATTGGGGCTCGTTCTAACCTAGTACGACTTTATCTTACCTTGATTCCATCTGAAATCCCCTTTCCGAATAAGACCATATTCGCAGGTTCCACATGGATGCAAATTTGTAAGAGGCACGATTCAACCTGGTATAGCCCGTGTAATCCTCCCAACCACACTGACAGATCTCCACCTTACAGAAGACAAAACTGAGGCTCAGAGAGGTTAAGCAACTTGCCTGAAGTCACACAGCTGGGAGTGGTACCCAGTCTCTCTGACTCGAGAAGCCTCACTACATTGTCCCAGACATGATCCTCATCCCCATCCCCTTCCCAGGGGCCTAGAGGCTCAACGTTTGCAAAGCTTCTCCTGGTCGCTGCCGTATTTTCTTCTTGCCACCGCAACCTGGTTTGTGGTTTACCAAAGACACAGGCTGTTCATTAACTCAGCCAAGGTCACACAGCTGGAGGGTGGCAGGGCTTTTGACCTCAGGTCCAGCACACTCCACTACGTAGACCCCCAAGGGCGGGGTCTAATGGGAACATTCCAAGGCTTTGCCAAGCCAGGGAGGCAGTTTACCCCCCAGGCGAGCAATGGCCTTGCTGTGTCTACTGATAACGCCCACTCCAGCTCCACTGCCAAGCTCATGGAGGCTATTGTGAATTGGCCACTTAAATTCACCTCCTCAGGTTTCAGCCCCTTGTCCCTGGCTTCTCTGCCCACAGCAGAGCCAGCTGTTGGGGCTGTCAGAAGCAGAGAAAAACCAGGTCAAGAATCCACGCAGCTCACAGCCGAGCCACACAATCTGGGCAGCAGCAAGGGATGCAGCGGGCACTGTTCCTCCATTGCTCTGGGCTGGGAAAGGGTGAGACCCAGGTAGTCCACAGCTGGCCCCGCGCCAGACCCAGCTGCAGGCACAGTCCAGCGAGTTCTGGTGACCCTTGCAAGCAGCCCAGGGTGTAGGTGCTATTGGTATGTTTACTTTTTCTAGAAGGGAAACTGAGGCCCAGGCAAGGTCAGGCTAGTGAGTGGCCATGCCAGGACTTGGTCCTGGGTGTGCCTGAGTCCAGAGTCCCCTGTCTTGGTCTCCGCAGGAAGGGCACTCAGCAAGGGCTGGAGGCTGCAAGAGTGGCCGCCGTGGTGGAAGGACCGTCGAGCATGCAAGGACAGGCTGGGCTGGAGCAGGGTTTGAGAAAGAGAGGTCAGGACTGAGGACCAGGAGACGGAGGCCAGCCAGGGCACTGGGGAGCCACGCAGGGCACGGGGGAGGGCACAACTTGGTCCTGGCAGGAGGGTGGGACCCTTGGGGCCCTCCTGTCTGGTCCATGGCCAGAGAATCCGTGACATGTGAAAGAGACCACGTCACCTTCCGACTTGAAAAGCCTCCGTAGCTTCTCACGGAGCTTCCCACAAAATCCGAACTCCTCACCGTGGTCCGAGTGGCCCTTCGGGCCTGGCCACATGACCTCCCTCCACTCCACCCAGCTCAGCTCCAGCCACACAAGCCTCCTTCGTGTTCCCCTAGACAAGCTCTGGCCCTTGCTGTTCCCTCTGCCTGGAATGCCATTCCCCAACCTCTGTGCACGCTGGCTCCTCGTCTTGAGAATGTCCGCTCCTCCTCTGCAAAATGGGGCCCATCATACCCCTTGTCCTTCAAAGAGTCGCTGAAGAGATGAATGCGCTAATGCAAAAAGCCTGGCATGCAGTAGGTGCTCAACAGGTGATAACATTTACTAGGGGCCAGTCATGTGCCAGGCGCTGCCGCCAGGTCCTTCATCCCACGACAGGACTGGCCCGACCTCTTCACCAAGGGGAACACCATGCAACACAAATTGACTCAGAAGAAACAAAGGGCTGTTTCAGATCAAAGGGGACTAAGGAGACGCGACAACCGAAGGCCACACCTGAGCTGGCATTTCCTTTCGCCACAGAGGGCATCGTTGGGACAATTGATATAGCCCAGTGAGGGCTGTAGATTTGATCGTAGCGTTGTTCCAGCGCCGATTTGCTGGTAGTGTTCATTGTGCAGCGGTTGTAAAACAGAATTCTTGTTTTCAGAAAATGCATTCTGAAGTATTTAGGGTAAAGAAGCACCATGCCTGTCACTTACTCTTCAGAGAGAGAAAAGGATAAAGCAAATGTAATAAAATGTTAACAACTTGGGGGAATCTAGATGAGGTTATCTGGGAATTCTTTGTATTGTTCTTGCAACTTTTCTGCAGAGTCTGTAACTATCAAAGGGGAGCAAAGGAAATGCAGGGCCGTGCCCTTGGCGGGAGGCAGAGAGTCTGCCGGAGGACAGCGTGTCCCTCGGGGGACGCGCTTCCAAGGGGGACCGGCCACCCAGGCTGCCGGGGACTGCTCTGGGTGTAGCACTGCAAGTCCCGCCTCCTGGGACATCCCACAGCCCCGTGCGACCCGGGATGGCGAGTGGCCTGAGTCCAGGCGAGCCTGGTGGGCGAACGCTGTGGGTGCATGGGGAGCCTCCCTGTCTCGGGGGACCCTGAAGGCTGAGTCTTCTGCCGGGGGCAGGGCTGCCACACGTGGGCAGAATGCAGGCTGGACATCCCATCCCACCCAAGAGCCGGGCCAGCGCCTTGCTGACAGAGTAAGGTGTCCGCCTCAGAGAGCAAGGTTTCAAAGCGGCCCAGCGGCCCTGTGCCTGGACCGCCACTGAGGCCCTTTGCCCTCTCTGGCCCAGTGCTCACTGGGCCTCCGGCAAATAGTTAACCTGCATCGAAAGCCTACTCAGCCGTCGCTGGGTCGTGCAGCCGAAGTGTGAAGGAGGGATGGACATTTCATGGCCGAGGAATGTGGCCTACAGCTCAGCTCACCCCAGCCTAGCCTGCCTGGCAGGTTGGCAGCTGCCAGGGGCTGGCCCGTGGGCAATCCCAGGCTGTTCTGCCACACGGATGACCTCCTGGGGGACCTCCCTCCTGAGTGCAGAGGGGCACAGTCACCTCCGTCGGCCCTCGCGAGTCACTGTGCAGTCCCCTCCCTCCGGTCCCTCCCCGACAGAGGCTGGGTGTCTGGGCTACCGCACCCCAGCCCTCAAGGGCTCGGCGGCGGAGGGTAAATGGGGTTTGCACTCGAGCTTCGAGCTCCTTCCAGGGAAGCCCCAGGTCCTGTGATTACGGAGAAAATACGAGCTTGCACGCGGCAGACTATTAAACACCGCGACGGGGGACGCCGCTCCACTTGACTCCCTGGGCCACCGCAAGCCAGCCGTGAGTCAGGCCTTGACCTTGGCCACCTTCTTAATTTAGAGGCGCGGCAGCTGCCCACCCAAATTAGCCGGCCCTTGTTCAGCCCCGGCCCCTGTTCGCATGCTTCTCTCTGCTCCTGTTCTTTTGAAAGTCAAGTTGGCATGTTGCCCGGTGGGGTTGCTGTTTTTTTTGTTTGTTTGTTTGACTGTGTTTAAGCCATACAAGTTCAGACGGTGCAAACTTGGCTGAAAAGGAGGCCTCCACTCGCCCCGACCTCTGTCCCCACATCTGCCTCCTCCGAGACAAGCATTGAGACCAGGGGCTGGATGATTCCCAGAGAGAGACCCATGCAGAAGCCCACGCTGAGAAATGTCTCCCCCACATACACACACACATTAACGCAGCTCCCATGCTGCTCCGCACTTGGCTGTTCTTGGTCCCCCCCCCTTGGAGAGGCCTCCACATCTCGTCTTTTGCACCCACAAACGGTGCTCCCAGGAAATGTCTTTGTGCCTGGAACTTTGCTCTCACTTGCAAGTAGCCACAGGTATTCCTAGACGTGGAATTGCCGGCATTATCATTTTTCAACGTGGGGGAGGGCCCACATTAGATTCTTCTTTAAGAATCTACTGATGAAATAAAAATCCTTTCTCCAGAAAAAAAGATGCAATTATTTTGCATGCACTTTTTGCGGGGGGGAGGCTCACAGGCTGCACATGAAGATGTTTTGGAATAGGGGGAAAGAACACGTGTAAGGCTGCTGCATCCGACCCTCGCTGCCGCGGGTGTGCGTAGGTGAGTGCTTTGATTCGGCCATCACAAGGAAGCAACCAGTTGGCTCAGCCGGCGGCCAGCACACAGCTCAGTTCAGGTTCCAGAAGTCAGATTCTTTACCACGCTCTATCCGCCCGGGTACCACACCTCTCACGGTCACGGCGCCCCTGGACGGCAGATCCCCAGAACGTGGCTGGTGAGCCGGAGCCCCGGGCCAGGGCTGCTCCTCACAGCAGTGCTGGGGCCCTGGGGCCCTGGACCTGCTGGGGACCCTGCCTGCAGCTGCCGCCTGCGGCCTGTGAAACCAGACCCTGCACCAGGAAGGCTCCCGAGCTCACACGCTCGGTTAGGTATTAATATTTTATGCCGCAGCCAGTAAGGACTCGGGGTAACAAAAGTCCCTGCAGGAAAGGTGGGCGCAGCGAGCACAGACGGCGTCGTCTCTCCTGCAGCGGCCACAGCGGACAAGAGAGATGTCACCACCAAAGAAAAGCTGAAGGGAAACATCTGTGAGCAGCCCATGGCCAGTGGGTCAGAGAGGTGGCGTCGGGGGGCTCAGGGCCTGACTTTGGTGCCTTCGGAAGGAAGCCAGGAGCGTCCCTTGGGCCCTGGCCACGGGGCGTGGTGTCCAGCGGACTGTAGGTCCGAGGGCATTGCCTGCAGAGACGACATGGCGAGAGCTGAAGCCAGAGAACCAAGGGCCCTGGCTGACCATCTGCCGGACACTCGTACAGGGCCACGTCCACAAGCCTGAGCCGAGCAATGAGCCACCCCACGGAGAGGCTCAACACCGGCCATCTCTCCCCTTCCTTCCCCCTCTCCCTCGAGTTCCTGGAGCTCAACCCTCTCCAGAGCATCACGCTGCCCGTACGACAGCTCGCAGGGATTCCCGGGACTACAGCCATTCTCTGAGGCCAAGGGGAGTCATCCGGTCGCACCTTAGCAACCACGAGGCCACGGATGGCCGGGAACTCCCCTCTGCTCCAGCGCTTTGCCACGGACGCTGTGGGCTCTCCCTTGGGCGGCTTCCTGAAGGAGGGAGGGCGAGGAGCAGCTCTGCGTCCCTCCTCCTCCTCCTTACTGTCTTCATCCTCAGGATGGTCCCCCCCACCCCACCCCCACCACGTGCCTGTCACAGAGCAGGTGCTTTATCTCATGCCACCTCTGCACTCGCCTCTTGCGATAGGCAGTGTGGCCATGTCCCTTTCCCGGGCGAGGAAGCCAACACAAAGCAACCTGCCCAGCGTCTCAGCGGTAGATCCGGGATTCTGCCTGGGGCTGTGCCATCTTTACAGGCCGGGCCCTCACCAGGCACTGCACGTGGCAGCCCACGTGCAGCTGTCTCGTGAGGAGAGGGAGCAAGTCGGGGAAAGGCCAAGGAGGCCATGTGGGCGGCAGTTTG